GGATATTTTTTGAAATTTGTTTTCTTGCACTAAGAATTGCTGAAGCATTGTCACTCACTACAGCTGCAAATTTGTTTGGCCCAATTCTGGATAAAACACGTTCAATTTCATCTCTTAAAATTTTTGCAGTATGACTAACATCAGATAAATCACATAATGAATAGAGATATTCTTTGTTATCTGCTGTGGTGATCATAAAATTATAAATGGAATAACCTTTAGGGCTGCTCCAACCATCAATGCCTATTTTTTAAATTGGAAAATAAGAACAAAGAATATTATATTAATTTTAATAAAATAAAAACATTCATACCCAATGTCAAGTTGTTAGCCTTTTCTAAAATATTATTAATTTTTATATCCACATGAACAGCTTCATCTGATAATAATTTAGTACTAAGACAATCTTGTGAAGGAGGTTTATAATTTGATCTGAGATTTTTAACATGTTGATGAAAAAAGGGTTTTCAATTATTCTAAAGGGGATACCACAAACCACAAAAGCCTTTAAAATTGAACAATCTATAATTCCTGCATGTTCTTTTGATAATGTCTCATCTTTATCCCAAAAATTAGAAAGTGATTGTGTATTTGCTTTATATGCTGTATTCTCTAAAGATTCACTTACACCATCTCTTTCTGCAACAATATACATATATCTTTTTTTGATCTCTTCTTCAATGTATTCACATTCATGTGCCAAATGGACTTGCAGTTTATTAACAGCTCCATTACTCCATTTACAATTACATGTTTTGCATTTGGCTCCAAAATGTCCTGGATGTTTTGAGGGATAACATTCGAAATGTTGCCAAACTGTATTTTTTGGTCGCCCACCAAGTTTTTTTGAATTTGATAAAATATTTATATCTACATCAGTATTGTTTGACATTATTGTGATTAAAAAAATTTATATATTTTTAAGAAAAATTATATTAGAACAAATAAGAAAATTATAATATATTTTTAAGCTAAACCAATGATTTAATAATTAATTAATTGTCAGGACAATAATATCAAAATAAAATGAACTTTGATAAAAACTTTAGTTGCGAAGAGAAAATAAGAGAAAATGAATGATTTCGGTAATCATGGTTACACATATATGTCATAAAATCAGTTTAAACTAGTTTAGAAAAGAGGTTAGAGTTTAGAAAGGCAACTCTAATTATGATCACATTGCAAATGACTAAATTTTGATCCCTGAAATTCTTGGTAATACCAATGTTCACTTTGTCTGGTTTTGTTGCAGCATGCCCCATATTATAAAATATTATAAAATATAAATAAAATTATTTACCTTTTTTTTTTAATATTCTAGTACACTCAAAGCATGATCTTTTTCTATTTTATTCATTTTGTTAATTAATGAACGATAAGTAGTTGATAAGCCAACATTTGATAGCATGTTAATTCCAGAACATGATGTGCCAGTTCCGACTAAAAACAATCCCATATCATCTTTAAAATAAGTACAATGTTTATTTCTAATACTTACTAACTGGTAAATTAATACCATAATTTTTTTTTTAATACTTTCAATTGTTTTTTGATTTTTATTTTTAATATTTGTTGATTGAACTAATGTATTAAAAAAATGAACAAATCCAGGATGTTTATTACTCACATATTCCATAAAATTGTTTACATTATAGATTGGATTTATTTTTCCTTATGTTGAGTATCGTATAAAATTTTTGTTAAAATTTCTATTTCTTTTGTAAAATATTTACAAAAATTTGTTTCTTCTAAAAATAAATAAACAGTAATATTAAAATAAGTATAATAAACATATATATAAAATGTAAAATTTTTTGATGCTTTTATATTATATTTAAAATATAAATTATTTGCCTGATATTAAAAATAATTCATCAAAATTTTCTTTTAATTGGTCTAATTCATTTTGTATAAATTGAATATTTGCCTTAAGTTGAATATTTTCTGATGATTTATTTATTAATTCATTATATTCAGCTTCATGTAAAATAAATTTTCTTTTTTTTTCATGTAATGGTAATTTTAAACAAAAATTTTCATCATCATTATTCTTATTATTCTTATCATTCCTATCATATACTACAAGATCATTGTAACATTTATGGCATAACTGTGAACCTATTTCTAAAACACATAAATTCTCTTTGTTATTAGAGAAAACTTTTCGTAAGGAATCTTCATTTAACTTCTGGAAGGTAGTGTTTTCATAATTGCTAAAATTACAAATTTCACAAGGTCCAAAATTGCTTCATTTCCTTCCCATATTCACACCAAAAAGTTTACTAATAAAATGTCAATGGAATTTCTGATCTTTTCTGATCTAGACTTAGAATATATGAAGGCGTTTATGTGCAAAATTTGAATACACATTCATTATTACACTTTACCCTGGCATTTGGTTACACTATTGTAATTCTACTTTAAACAATATAAATAATTATGTTACACGAAAAATAGAATTTCCACCATGCTAACATAGCGGGCTTTCTATTTTATGGAATGATCGGCATCAGTTACACCACATATATTTCATATGTAAAATTTGCATCGCCTGACTTTAAACCAATTGTTGGCCACCAAAACCGATTGTTGAACAATATAAACAATATATTCTAATTTTTCAACTTCTATTTTATATATTTTCAAAGTAATTCGGAAAAAGGTGAAGTAATTCAGAAGTTAGCTTTGAAAGACTTTTTTGCATTTGGTAAATCGTATGTTTACTTTGAAAATAATAAATTATTTAACAATCGCTAGAGCTGTAAAGAACAATCTTAATAGAGAGTTTAGATTCTGTTTGATATTCTGGTTAGTGATTTGAGATGTTTTTGAATAAATAAAATGTTTTATTTATTTATTTAAATTAAATTAAATTAAATTAAATTATTGTTTTTTATAAAAAGCTGAAAAGGTACATTAATAAACGTTAATCATATAACTCTTACACTCTTCTATAGATCTAAATAACATAAAGGATCACTGGACAAAAAGAAGGTATGCACAATGGTTGTAGAATGGTTGTGATTATGTCTGGTGTGTTATTAGTTTTATGGTGAATGCGTGAACAAATTTAAATATTTATAATTTACTTAATATTTAATAAGAATCGCATAATAGTTTAATATATTGTAGGTAGTGAGTAAATGATACATTTATCAATTATATCAAACATCAAATTTCATTCAACATATTATTTTATGTGATGGGTGGGATATGCTGTTTCTCTCAAATTAGTCATTTTGATATGGGATATTTGTACCATATGTGTACTTTATTATATATTTTTTTCATTGCAATTATTATTATAGCAAAAGTTCCCACATTAATGTTTTTGCTGAATTATTTATTACCAATTACAAATAAAATTATTGTTAAGAATCTATCTATCTATTTTTTATATTATTTATTGTCTTGGAAGTAATAAATAAAAACGATCGGTATATTATAAATTATCAACCAATCACAGAGAAAGCCCGCTATGTTGTATACTGCAACAAGACAAAGTGAAACTTGTGTCACAATGAATCATACATTTTTTTTATTGCTATTTCACAATTGCAAAAACAAAACCAAATACCAAAATCCAATTATTATCGCAAAAAAAAATTTTTTTAACAAAAATGCTGAATCCTAGAAGGAAAACAATAGAAGCAATAAAGAAAAGAATAAAAAATCTAAAAGGAATATGATATCAAAGATGTAAAATAATATTAGCAAAAGTAATAATATTAGGATAAGTCAGAATGACAAATACTTATCAATGGCTTCCTATGCAATTGCTCTGGTGGTTTTTATCTTATATTAAAATCATTACAGTCCTCCATAAGTGCACCCTTTATAAATGCACTTCTCTATGTTATGCATTTGCACGGTCTTTTCCTGATCCTATACAAATATAAAACCACCCTCTTTAAATGCACCTCGTGACTTTCACGTGACCATGTTGTAATAATTTCCGTGTTACGCGCATGATGTTTTAATAATTCAAGCAATGAATTAATTCTTTCATTACAAGTGATCAATTCTTTCTTTTTTTTAATAGATATGAGAACAACAGAATGACAGGATAACAGGATAACAGGATAACAGAATAAGAGAAGAAAAATACACAAACAATAAATTTGACCATATTAGATGGATTGAACAAAAATGGTGGGTTTTACCTATTGAAGATCTTGAGATGACTAAGGTGATAATATTTATACATGAAGTCGAAATTAAAACCCCAAAGTCAAAATGTTTCAACTTGAGGCAACTACATAGTAAAATCAGGTTCAACCTTATTTTGACCAGATCTGAAATGGTCAAAATAGTTCCGACTTCATGTATAATGGTATTGAGCCAATGATAATAGGTGCCAAAGAAGCTTTAAAAAGTAACATTTTTAGAATTTTCTTCTTGTATAGACAATTTTAATGCGACTGATAAATTTAAAGGTTTATTAGTGTCGTGTGTAACCAATAAAATACTTTAGTTCTGATTGGAAGGTTGACTGTGTGTATTTTTCTCTTATTGAATAAAACATTGCTTGTTGTTATTTAATCCTTTACTTGAATGCAAATATCTTTGTTTCCACTATTGTATCATGTCTATGATGTTAGTGCAATATATTTGATGTTGTTATTTGTAAATAAAATTTAAGGAATCAATTTTATATGAGGCCTACTGTAACAAAACCAGACAAAGTGAACATTGGTATTACCAAATATTTCAGGGATCAAAATTTAGTAATGTGATTATTAAAATCTCCCATTTGTTGTCTTCTTAATATTAAGTGATATATATAACTACTTCTATATCCTATACTATCATATAATAAATAATAACCGTGTGTTTGTTTTTTAGATATACATTTTCTTATTAGAACCAACAATTACTTTGAAATCTTCACCACCAAATCCTCGTCCTGTTTATTGTGATCCGAATTTTTGAACAAATTTAGTTATGTGGGATTGGATTTCTTGATTGATGTTTATGTATCAGTTCGATTATTCAGAATAATGGGCTCAGCCAATAAAACTTTAAGCAGTACTATCAACGATTGTAAAAGTACAAGTACTAGTGTTAATCATGTTAAGCATAAAAAATCCAATCTGACAATATATTCAGCTGTCTTATACTGGAATCTATCCAGAATTTTTATTGCAACTTTATTGAATGTTAATACAGTTATAGATGCATTTAGACTATTTGATTTAGATTCTGTATTCAATTATTCGTTGAATTTTGTTATTTGTATTGCAATGTCTTATCTTATTACCTATGATAAAGATTTTGTGAGATATATTGCTGGGAAGAACACTTTAGTTGCGAATTAATAATTATTATTAAATATAATATCAATAACTTCTTTTGAAGTAGACATACGACCAGTTTTCTTGTTCAAATAATTTCTTCAAATGTTGTATATATATACTGTATATCTCTCTTTTTATAAAAAATAATGAGCATTTTTAATTGTGCGTCCCTGATTCAAAAATAATTATATCTAACAATAACAACTCGAGTGTAACTTTGCCAATTGTGCAATTGCCATTTAACATTTATTTGGACAAAATCAATTTATTGAATAACAAATTCTTATGATTAATATATATATATACAGTATATATATAATTATAATTATATCCTATACTATCATATAATAAA